CAGCAGCAGCAGCCGGGGTCCAGGCGTGGCTGGCGCAGCGCCGCGCAGCACCGCACCGACACAATAGCGACTCTATCAATCTTGAGACGCACACGCACGCGCGCGCGCGCGCTACGCATCGGACAGTGGCCGGGTGCCGGGAGTGGCGGCTAGTACGTGGAAGGTAGAGAAAGAGATAGACGAAGAGGAATTCCCTCTCCCCCTCTCTCTCTCTCACACACACACACACATGCGCGCGCACACACACAAAATACCGTACAATAACGTGTGCGCAACGCGTTGGGCCGGTGCGCCCTGAGCTCTACATTCTCTACACGGCTCATGCAGGCTATGGGCGGGCCTACGGATGAACAGAACACCGCACTCTTCTTGCTTTATAAAGATTCCCTCTCCCGCGTTTGCAGCCTGTTTGGTGTAACACGAAAATTTCCTCGCGATTCAGGAGGGTGCGCCGCGTCGGCGGCTGCCTTCTGGCCGGCCCGCCTGGCGCCTGGCGGCCGGGGCGTGCAGGCCCGTAGAGCAGCGGCGCGCGGCGGGTTGCCTACCCCGCCCCCTACGAGCCGCTGCCGGCGGCAGGCACACCACGCGGCGGCGCGCTACGGCAGAGCAGCGGTCGCTGTGCGCCGCCACGGCCTCACAGCTTGAGTGACGAGTGCCTCGCAGGTTGGGAGACGAGTAGGAAAACACGGTCATTTATTCAGATATGAAGACCCGCATCGCGAGGTTGCACACACGTTGCACCGCGACAACTAGTAAAGAGTCCGCCGAGTCCCTGAAGGAGAACCACCATCCCGCCTTCGCGAGAAGCGCGGCTCGTCGTCACCCTGATTGGTGTCCGTCAGCCTACTGTGATGAAATGTAGTATCAAAGAGAAAAACAATAAAAGGAGGCGATGGGGAAAAAAGGACACCGACATGCGATCCGAAGGTGTATGATGGGGTTAGTGACGGGAGGTGCGGAGGGGCGGAGGGGGACACAACAAATTCGGCGCTTGCAATAATGAAGCGCGTCGGGGCGACATTGTTGGCGGGACATTCAAAGTGAAACAAAGCGTGAGGTGGAGGCTGGTGCCGACAATGCCCCCCGGGGTCTGGACCGCGCCCGGCCTGGGCCCCACGGAGCTCTCTGGGGTCCCGCACGACAATCGGAGCCCCACAATAGAGACTCTTGCGGTACCGGCCGAGGAGGCCCGCGCCCGGGGCCCCCTGCGGCGCGCGCCGCGGCTACTGGACGTGCCCACCGCGCCACCGCCGTGTACTGACACCCGACCCACTTGGGCAAAACTTAACACCCGGGGTTGTTGTTGTTGTTGCAACACTTGGTGTGTCAGCGGGTGAATATTTTGATATATATTTTTCTGTCCGGTCCACTCGAGGTCCACTCTACGTTATTGGCCGGCGGCCATTTCCTCGTCGACTCTGCACCGGAAGCTGGACGCGGACGTCGTCGTCGTCGTCGAGGTGCTCCGGCGGGCCGGGGCGGTGGAGGTGGACGGTGCGCGGGAGGTGCACGGCGGGCCCGGGCACCGGGCCGGGCACTCCGGTGCAGGACGCGGGGATCGAGCGACATCCGCGAAAACTAGTTTGGCGTTGGCGAGATTGAATGAAAGAGATCGTAAATCTTGGCCTAGTGAGGCGTGGCGTGGCGTCGCGGGGCGTGGTGGGGCGGGGCGGGGCGGGGCCGGTCATCAGAACGTCCTCCTATAAACATGATGGAGCCGCTGGTCCGGGACTATTCTAGGCGCGACGCGGCGCGCATCTCGCGGGTGTGGGGCGTGGCGGGGCGTGGCGGGGCGTGGCGGGGCGCAGAGGACCGCTGGCTGCAGTCTAATTAGAGGGGCCGAACGAGCTGCCCAAGCCCCACCTGCAGCTGCATGCGTCGAGGTCGAGAAAGGAGGCAAGGAGGAGGAGGCGACGGCGACGGCTGTCGTCGAGTGGGTCCGCGGGGTGCTGCTGCTCCCATACCATTGTTTATTATTCAGGGGGTTATTCAATTATTATTATTATTTTCACATCAACGCTATTGTTTATTGCCTTTTCACCACGAAAATCTTCTGCCGCCCAATTGCCGCTCTCTTTTGTTTTTGTTTAGGAGAAGTAGAAGCAGTAGCCGCTAACTCAGCTTTACCTATGGGATAGAGTCTGATCGGGGGTCGCGATACCCGTCCCGATGGGCGCTGCGGAGCGGATGCCGTGGTACCCGCCCCGCCCCGGCGCCCGCCTCCCGGTCTTTAACGACGGTCCGACCGACCCGGTGCAGAAGCCCGTATAGGTGCGCCGTGCGCCCGATCAGGGAGCACGAAATAGCCATACTGACATCTACATTCAGGGATTAAAAATCTACATTCTTGGCCAACGGGCCAAAACTGATCATTGTCACATTACGTTTGCAAATATAAATATACACATCGACATATGTTTCCTGTTCCGGGGAAGAGCGGAGGAGCTGCAAAGAGTTCCATCCAGAACTCGGACGGTCGGTCGGTCGCCCCC